GCGGCTGCCGCTGCTGACAACAAGATGGCGGCGGCGGGGCCGGCGGGCCCCGAGAGCCGGGTGTTGGGCTACACCCTGCACCGCTGGAGCAGCTTTTCTTCCACCTACCTGCCCGAGTGAGTCCCGGCTTCGCTTCCCGGCTTTCACCCTGGGCCGTACCCGGGCTGCCGGGCCTGCGCTGGGCACCGAGCGGGGCCTGCGTGGGGAGGCCGCGGCGGGCGGTGCTGTGGTGGCGGCCTCTCTGAGGGGAGCGCGGGCCCGGCCGCCGTCGGCCAAGGGGGTGCTGGGGAGGCCCGGGATGGCCTGAACCTCTGGGTGGTGAGGGGATGGAGAGGGGAAGCCCGGTCGCTAGGCGTAGGGGGGGCGGCTGTGTGTGGGGAAGGTCTGGTCAGCAGTGTTTGGAGAGGCCTATGTCTGAGGGAGGGGGTGGTGAGCAGGGTTTGGCGGGGAGAGGGATGTGTGAGGAAGGGGATGGTCAGGAGGGTTTTGGGGGGGCTGTGTCTGATGGAGGGGGTGGTCAGCAGGGTTTGGGGGGGCTGTGTCGCTGTGTCCACAGCAGCTCCATGGGGCACCCTCCTGAGCCCCCCAGCCCCATGGGGCACCCTCCTGAGCCCCACATCCACCTCAGCCCCATGGGACACTCCTCTGAGCTCCATAGCAGCTCCATGGGGGATTTTTACAAGTGCCAGAGAAACCACCTCAGCTCCATGGGGCATCCCCTCAAACCCTCAATAGATCCATAGAGCATGTCCCCAAGCCCCCCCAGCGACCTCAGCTCCATGGGGCATCCCTCTAAACACCACATCAGCTCCATGGGCCATCTCCCCAAGCCTCACAGCCACCTCAGCCCCATGGGGCATCCCGCTGAGCCCTACAGCAGCTCCATGGGGCATGTCCCCAAGCCCCCACAGCCACTTTAGTTCCATGGGGGATCCCTCTAAGCCCCACAGCAGCTCCACAGGGCATCCCCCTGAGCCCACATCCACCTCAGCCCCATGGGGTGCTCCTCTGAGCTCCATAGCAACTCCATGGGGCACCTCTCCAAGCCCCACAGACACCACCTCAGCTTCATGGGGCATTTCCTTCAAGCCCTCAACAGATCCACGGAGCATCTCTCCAAGCCCCACAGCCACCTCAGCCCATGGGGCATCCGTCTATACACCACAGCAGCTCCATGGGCCATCTCCCCAAGCTCCACATCACCTTAGCCCCATGGGGCACCCCCTTGAGCCCCACCTCAGCTCCAAGGGTACCTCCCTGAGCCCCCACAGCCCAATGCAGCCACAATAACCCCATGCAGCGCTACAGGCTCGGGGAAGTGTGGCTGGAAAGCTGCCTGGAAGAAAGAGACCTGGGGGTTCTAGTTGACAAATGGCT